AAAGACTAAGCACATTACTTCTCACTAAAAATAGATAGATAAATAAATATCTGGGCATGGTGGTGCACACCTGTAGTCCCAGCTACTTGAGGGGCTGAGGTGGGAGGATCATTGAGCCCAAGAGTTCAAGGCTACAGTGAGCCATGATTGCGCCACTGCACTCCAGCCTGGGTGACAGAGCAAGACCCTGCCTCAAAAATATTAAAAGTTAAAATAAAAAAAATAAATAAAATTATAGCATACTATAGTCGTGAACTGCTCTCAGTTCACACTTTTTATATTCTTTACCAAACTTTAAAAACTATGCACTAAATCAATTCAGAGTGAAATGTTTGCAAAGCAATCTTAAAAACTATCAACTAAGCTATGAATCACTATTCTATTTTATATCCAAAAGTTCTAATTCAATACATTAGACAACCTTAAGATCTTTTTTCTTGCCTAGCTTAGGACTGAGGGCAAATCTACGAGCATTCATGTGCCCCTTTGTGATCTTAAGGTTTCACTGTCTTCATAAGCCAGTTCTTACCTTCAGGGTGGTGTCCATGTACGGGTCCTCCTCACGAGCTGCTGCCGCACTGCACCGCACAGTGAAACACTGCAGGTTGTTACTGAGGAGGAAGACACAGGCTGCTGAGCAAAGTGAGGCCAAGAGCCAACATGCCCACAGTAGAGAGGGCTTCATTGGCAAACAGGGCAATGGCAGGGGTGGCAGAAGACTCAAGTATTTGTCAAATGTTGCCAAGTTAATCTGCTTCTCAATAAGAGGAATGCCTCAGAATCCCTGTGATGTGTTTTTAAAAATATGTAACTAGTCCCCATAACACCCTTAGTGAATCACAATCTCTAGGGGCTGAATCTAGAAGTATATATTTCTAAAAAACTCCCTATGTGACTCTGATGTGCATCCCTACTTAGGAACCATGGATCTGGGTCAATATCTTCATTTTATAGACAAATGATGCCCCTAGTACCTGCCCAAGGTACAGATGGGTGTCTATCAAAATCAGGATTAAAACCCATTTCTTAACTGTTGTTCTTCCTCACCCACCTCATGATGAAATCCATTCTGGATTATGCTGGACAACGCAGACTGTGCAAACTCAAATCCAACGGTCAAATTGAAAATGAGAGGCCATCTGAAAGCATCTTCAGAATTACCTAGTCCAGCAATTAGTTTTAAAGACTGGGGCATGAAAGGTTCATGACTGGTCCACCGCCTCTCTGGAGAGCAGAGCCAATTAGATCCCGGGTCTCCTGACCCCTCACACTCTTCTACCTCTTTCCACAACTCCAGGTTGCTTCTGCATACAAAAAGGACCTAGGGACTCCACAGTAAGTGCACGACAGATGCCTGGATGACAGCCCACTGCCATCTCTATTTCTGAAAAGCTCTAGTAAATGATCTTCGGAGTCCTGACAATAACTGGGACAACAGCACCACCACTTACAAATCTGGAGTCAAGTTAGCAACCTTGGGAAGTAAACTGAGAGACAGGGAAGCAAAAAAACACCTGCAGTGGGACCAGAAGGACAGCTGGAAATAGCTATGACCACAAAAACAAATGACGTTAGATTCTGGAGATAAAAAGGCAGGGTTTCCTGCCTTACCTCCACCCATAGGAATCCAGCCTGTTGGCTACTGTTGGAATTCTAGGCAGAAGTACATACAAGAGAAACAATAAAGTAAACTGAAATGTGCTGGCATGGAAAGATGTCCACGACATACTGCTATATAAAACAGCAAATTGCTGAACAGTGGACAGAGTATGATCAATTTCTGTAAAAAATAAGGCTTTGAAAAAAAAAAAAAAAAAAAAAAAAAAAAAAGTTT